GGTGAGAATGACAGAACATCCTTTTTGTTTTCATTGTTACCTTAGCTCTCTCTTTTATACTCTGTTCAAATGTCATTTTTTGAAGAAAGAAAAATATGTCGTATGTTAAATATATTTTCTCTTGTGTATCATTACAATATTGATATGTCTAAATTACATGTATTTTCCAGTGTGTAGCACTGCTGTACATGTATATATTTTCTTTTTTTCTGTGCCATATATTTCAGAAATAGTACATGTTATATTAAAATACAGAAACAGCTACACTGGATGTTGACTACCAACTACATACTAAAACTGTTGAACAGAAATTCCATGTATATCATACTTAATTGTGGGTAATAGTTCATTAACACTGATGCACTTGGAGTTTGCTGGTAGTAATACAGTGTCTGCTCTATACCGTGAGTAGTGCTATATATTTTAACCTAGAACATAGACTTCCTAAGGAAGACTAAGAAAGTAATGCTAGCTAAACCAAAATGGACCATTAATAAGTTACTGTAAGCTAACGTTTTATTGGTTGACGTATAAGGAGGATCAAATAGTAAGCAAGTTGTTTATACGTACATACACAAATAACTTTTTTACAGAGCCATACAATTAACATTTTCACACAAAGTGTATATCTATGACTCAGGATAAATCTTGTTACAAGCACTGTAGTGCTTCTTCCAAGCCCAGGGAAATATCTTCAGCTGCATAATACAAGTTAGCTTACTGCTTCACATGTGCTTGTTTAATCTGGAGAATCGAGCATACTGTTTGGGTATCTCAAATAATAGATAAAATATAGTTTGACTGAGAAAGTTTTTGATATTTATTTAGGAGACTCAAGAGGTTATGCAAATAAAAACTGAGATGAAGAGAAATATTTTTATTTTTAGTATGAAAATCACCTTTCACCCAAAATCATTCCGTCAAAGTGAATTCATAGGCAAATCTTTATTAAAAATACTTTGTTAAAAAAAAAATCTGATTTTTAGTGTATAACAGACCTGTAATATGTAGTGAAAGCTTTGCAAACTTTGTGAAGGTATACATTTAGAATTCAGAGTTATAGCATATGTAGTTGCATGGTTACAAGGACGGTTAAAATGACAGAGCCCATGTACAGAAAGTTAGATGCACATAAAACATTTTCAGAAGCTATTTTTGTAAAATATTGTAGTAAATGAGTAGTCCATTCTGATAATTTGGTGAAATTCAGTCTTCTATTTCCTTGTAAACATGTCCAGGGAAAACAAATCCCATTTACTTTGTGGACCAAATGAAGCCATTGAAATAAAATTATATATATATATATGTGTATATTTTTTTTCCTTTCATTTAGACTGATTTATCATCTTTGTAGGCACATGTTTCATTTTTAAAAAAACTAAATTTATATTTTTGTTATTACAAATATGTAATTTTATAATTAATACAGTTTAAAATGATTTGCTTATTATGTTAATAATATTTCAATCAATAACAGAAGCTAAATTATTGGATGCTAAATTAGTGGTTAAGCAAAAAATCTTAAGAACAGAGAAATTGCAAGTTTTGCTTGATACAAGGATGTTAACCGCACAGTGTTCATAAATAGTGTAACACTTCCTTATATTGTCAAAATCTACTTTTTATGCAACATACCAAATCTAAGTAATTGGCTAAACCAGGTTAAAATCATGGTTACTGTGAACATTAAAGAATTAATGTCATGTGCAGGTGTCTTTATGTAAACTTTATAAATCATAGACTTATTCATTGAAGCCTTTTTTTATGTTAGATTTCAATAATCAAACTAAAGAAGAAAAAAGCAATGATTTAACTATTGTTGCATCAGAATTTTTTGTTTTAATACAAATAATAACATTCAAATGGTTGTGAATAACATTTTCTAAGTTGGTGAAGCATGATTACAATTAATGATATTTTTCATAATACATTAGCCTAATAGTAATATTCTCATAACAAATGTAATTCATTATCACTCAAAATTTTTAAAACTTAAAAGGTGCTGTCGTATAGAGTTGTTAAGAATTTATAGTAATTTGGCTGCATAGACTTGTTGACAGAAACAGTTCTACATGTTAAAAGAAATGGTAAAAAAGTATCTTTTATGAAGGATAAAAGCATAGTTTGCATTGCACATGGCTAAGTTTAATATTATATGTCTATAGTTAGATGTATATTCTGTTATTTTGACATAATTTTTTTCTTTAAGACTTTTATCAAAATAAAAAGTTCTGTTAAAATGTTTTTTCTTGACACTGCGTTCTTTAATCTCTATGTATACATATTGTAACTTCTCAGTGGATAACAGGATTGTAGATAAATTAAATGAAGTTAAGAAAATAAATTGAAGTTAAGAAATAAATTATGTATTAATGATTAAATAAATATAAGACAATTTAAAGATTAGTAATTGTAGATTGATTTATCATTTCTTTTATAATCAATGTTCAGTAATTGATTAGTTTCCTTGAATCACATTGTAGCCTAGTTGTATTTATCATTCACTCCATTAGAAGAATAATCTTGAGCATAGATAAAGCACATAAATCATGTGGATTATTGCTTAAATGTAAGTACATTGTTGTAAATTGAATGGGCATTTTTATTTATTGTAATCTATAACTATTTTTGAACATAGATATATGGTTGCAAATAATGTTTAGTTATCTAGTGCGTCAGATTCTACAAGTTGTCATACTCTTGATAAGTATGGCTGAGTCTAATGACATGAATCTTAACCTAGAAACACGGTCACAAAGTGCTTGAGTTATCACTTGCACCACATTTGATAATATCAAATCTGAAAAACAACTTTTCTGAGGTAAGGGTGTTGCTCTCGGTTATAAATATCTGTCACATTCTGCTGCTTGACTTTCTTCAAAGTATATGGTTTACTTTTTGACAATTGAAATGATAATTTAAAAAATAAAAACTTTAGTTTTTTTAGCCATGGCATAGTGATCATAGAATGACTCAGAGTTTATATGTATAAACTTTTAGCTCATAGCTCCATCGTCTCTCAACCGATTTTCAGGTCAAAACCTTTTGATTGATGTATTTGACCATGCCCAAAGTCTCTTGGATTAATTTACTCTAATCCTGCCTGAAAGAATTTCAATTTGCAAATAGGCTGGTAGAGATCCTGATGAGTAATAAAATTGAACTTGGTATACGTGCACCCCATGCTTGGTATTGCTGGCACACAAAAATATAACTGATAAAAAGGGAAAAAAATTTATTGCAGATTAATTTACTCTAATCCTACCTGAAAGAATTAAGTGCTGCAGCTACTGAGGATTTCCTCTTGTTTATACTAGTAATGTTTAACTGGTTTTTGAATACCTTTCAACTGTAAACCCTGGTATTAATATCTAGTATGTTACCACGAGTTGTGAAGGAAAATTGTATACTAATTTTTTTTCACTAAATCTTGTTTTAAGCCTCTCATGTCAAAATCTCCCATTGTAATAATGGTTGTAAATTTATATACTCACCACTACAATTTATTGAGCACAACCTGTGTCTGATTGATATAAATGCTGGCCAACATGGCTTATTCCAATTATTACTAAACTAAGTATGAAAATTTTGTTTCCAAATGCTTGACTTCATTCTAACTGGAATAATGCTACTGTCATATCTAAAATTAAAATTTATTGACCACAGTAACTTACGTGTGACTTTACAACATAAAAAAAAAAAAGAATATTATAAGCAAGGGACGTGTTATGTAGTGTAGGTAAGTAATGAACAAACTGCACTTTTTACAGGTAATTAAAACATTAGGTATTCTGTATGTGGATCCTAGCAATAGTCTAAAATGTAGGATTTTATTTCTCTATTTACCAGCAAGTGTATGGTAGAAATACTTCTGACCCATATTCTTTTCATTTTGGGTCCTTCCTTTAGATCTTCTAAATGACTGTAAATGGACTACCAAGGATATCAATACTCTTATATACTTATGCCCTCACTTTTCCTCCATGTTTCAAAAGCAATATAGGATGTATTCTTAAAACATTTACTTCCCCACACTTTTGAAACCAAACTAATGCCCCTATCTGCATTAACTCATAAGAATTATCTAGTGTTCTTAAGATGAAACAATGGTCTAGACCTGAGGGTCCACAAAGATAATACCATCTCATTAAACAAGTAAGTTTTTTAATTGCACACTCAGTTATATATGTCTTTTATTTGATAGTGAAAAATGGAAAAACAAGTTAATTATTAGTAAGAAAAACACTGTTGGGTAGATGAAAAGCTTGGAAACTGCTGGTCTAGACTGTAAATAAAGCATTAACAAATTAACACATTTTGCAAAGTGATTCACTAAATAGTGAGATTATGATCAAAAACACGTCACGTAGCTTGTAGATCACTCAATATCTTAACATTTGAAATAGGATACAAAGCATAATAATGATCTTGATAATTTTTTAAACCTAAAATTTAAATTTCTTTGAAAGAATATTTTGGATTTTCTGATATCTATTACTGGCTTTAGTAGAAGTATTTACATACTTGGAAAATGTTATCTTGTTTGCTTTTTATACTAATTTATTGAATAAAAAAAAAGCCACGTTACTTGTGATCAATGCTTATTATATGCAGATACCCTGGAATATTGAAACTCGTACAAAAAGCTACGTAGCCATTAGTCTTTAAACCCTGATAAATGATCATATTATTATTATTATTAATGGTTTATCAATAATTTTTATTACTTCAAAATTTGTATACGTGTGGCATTCTGTTACACTAATATCTAACATATAAGTATCTGGAAAAGATTTCATAATATTAATGTAGAATACTTTGATATACTTGCCTATAGATACTGTCACTTGACTAAGTATATTTTCTACTACTCTGGAATGCTCAAAGTTTTTTAACTTGCTTTTGTGAAAATTATGTTTTCTCAAAATCAATTTTATCATCAAGTCAACATAATACCTATTCTTGCACATGCTCACTTCTGCAATTGAACTCAAATAATTCTTTTTTTCCAAGTGTATACTTATTTCATCATAAAATAGATACATTTTACTGTTAAGTGGTCTGTATGAGAAAAATCAATTAGATTATTTCACAGTAGGGCAAAAACAATAAATCGTGACCAAAGGCTTTTAAACTAACCCTTGTTCTTACAGTCTAATTAATAAAGAAATTAGACCTTGCAAGTGATTAGTTGCAAAGTATTCAGGTGCTAGTTTTCTTTTAACTCAGTCTCTCATAAAGAAGAAAACTCTGCACCGAAAAATGGAACACATCACATTTTTTTATTCACATAAGAAGGCTTTATTACAGACTTTAAAAGCAAAGTTTGGCAGGATTGTTTATCCTTTTTTTAAAGACTTCTACCAAAAACATAATAAATTAATTCAATGCCAAATAATATTACAGAAGTATTAAATGTTTAATTTTCAACACAGGGTTTATCTACTCACAATGGATAAAATAAAGTGGGGTAACTAATGTGAAACCTTTTTAAAAAAAAATTATACTTCCAACTAAAAACATACAATTTTGCATTTTATGAAGCCATTACTAGCATATTACTCTACTTTCACTCACGTTTTTAGAATTGTGGCTACTCATTACTAAAACTTGTTTAAATAAATAAGACCTTAGAAACTACACAGAGTATTTATAACAGATTCATTAAGAATAACATACAGTATGTTTGTGATAAGATCAAAAATTGACTGGTTAAAAACATTTTTAAAATGAGGATAATATTAAGTATTTGTGTACATCAAATTAAGACAGTATTAAAAAGAATACAGAGATAAACACTAGGATATGTAGGATCACTTGGAAAAATTTAGCATCTTACTAAAAAAAAAAAAAAGATACCTATTTACAGTTAGAAGGAACTTTTCTCAGCCATTCCAGCATAATGAAGACAATGGGCATACCAACTAGTTGGCTAGATTTGTCCTAAAATGTCGAAGCATATAAAGATTTACACCTTATTTGTATTTGTTTAAATGTGAATTTTTTTTATTATATAGAACCACAATTACAGAAAATCACACAACATTTGGTTTGTTTACCTTTTTGTTTTGGGTCACAATAATTGAGAAAAATGCTTTTGTTATTCCAGGTTTTCATCTTTAGGAATAAATTAACAACATGCAGTATTTTATAATCCTTTTCATCACAAAAAAAGACTATTACAAAACAGTCATATCTGTTTAAGAAGGGATGTGAATACTTGAGCTTTCTAATTTGGTAAATGCTAATACATCTTTGTACAGTGTTTATTTATGAACAAACAGTCGGCCTAGAATGGATTAAGGTTTAATCCTTTACAAATAGACTTGTCCCTTCAGAAACCCAGCACTGAAGATTCCCTGCTTAGAAAACCTGCTAGATAATTTTTCATATTAAATATTCAGGTTAAAACTTGTACGATATTATTTTTTGAGACATAGTTCCAAATATGAATATCATGGTCTGTATTTCCAGAATCTGCAAACAATTTTTACTGTATTCACAGTAAGTAGAATATTTTTTAAATTCAATTAATAAGCTATGAATTTCTTTTAACATTTTATATTACAAAACAACAGTCATACACATTTAAGAATGGATGTAAATATTTGAGCAATAAGCTTTCCAATTTTATAAATTCTAATACATCTTTGCAGTGTTTATTTCTGAATGAATGCTTAGAAAGGATTATATTTAATCAACATTCAAAATATTGATAAGTTTTGAAAATTCAAACCACTGTTGCATTAAATGCTTGTCCTTGTATCTCCAACGGCCAGTTAAAATTGTTTTGTTTTTTTCAGTACTTTGTAAATAATAAATTAATTTTTTTTTTCTCATAACTTGAAAAATCCAATTTAAGTCTTCTACCTAATCTTTATTTCTACTCAACTTTGATACCTTTTGTTACTAGATAACAATAATCTGTCTTTTTCTTGTTTGTGCTGTCTCCGTCTTATTTCCGAGGATCTAAAAACAGAAAAACCATTTAAAGATGTTTCTAAACAGTTTTCTGTAAAACCAACGAAAGAATTGTATTTTTCAGTGATCAAGATTAACAGATTTCTGATGTAGAGATTTTATAGGAATCAAGAATACTTAAACAATTTTTGTAGTGTTCATCTGAATGACATGAGAATTTTTTTTAACTTAAAATTCATCAGTTTTAGTGAAGGTAGTAAAGTTGTCACTGATGAATACCAAATGTAAACCCCATTACTAACATGACCTCAACTACCATCCATTGTAGTTTAAATAGTTCCAAATCGTATATGGGATTTCTCGTATGCTTTTTTTATTCCACCTATTCTCATCTCCTAGATTATTGTATATTGAATACTTTATGTTAAGAAGACTGTTATTTAAGTGTATGTTAGAATAGCTTTTTTTTTTCAATAGTAAATGTAAGTTGTATAAAATCGCAAGCCAAACAAGTTTCTTACCGGGACGAATAAGATGAAATGTGGTCTTCCAGTCTTTCCTGATCTATATAAATAAATAGCAATATTACAACATCTATTATATCAGTTATTTGTTAAATACCTTTGTTAATGCCTTTTTACTAAAGATAAATGCAAATCCAGTAGAAGAAAAATTACATCAAATAAAAATTAAAACACAGCATTAATCACTATTCTAAGTGTCGTGTTTTGTCATATATTACTAGCTTCAAGTTCTTAAGCTTACTGTAAATTTCATGTTAAACACAGTTATTTATAGTAAACATTCTACCATAGGTAAAGTAACATTTGCTAATATCTTTGATAAAATTTTTGTACCTTCATTTAATGAAATAAATAAGAATTTATATTCTTAATACCTTGTAATTGGGATTTTATGGTACATTCCTCTGCTCCTTTACACCTTCTGAGCTGATTTAACTGCCGTCTCATATCTTGTAGTTTAAATAGTTCCAAATCATATACAGCATTTCTCAACTAAATTATAACAGAATAAAATTAAGGATTACAGAACACTAAGATAATTTGATATAAAACTCAATAACAACCTTTTGGCCAAATACTGTATTTTTTTTTAGCCTATAACACAATTAGTCAAAAATAAACTTTATAATATATGGGGGGAAAAAAAAAGTTTCAAAATTAAAACTAATATTTAAGGATAAATAAAACCACAAAAAAAATTAACATCTCAATTTTTTTTCATGGTTGTTATGTTAAAGGAAATTTTGTTTATACTTTATATAGCCAAAAAGACTTTAGGACATGATTGTAATTAATTAACAAGTGTTCCTTAGCATCAAGGTAAAGTTAGGAGAGCATCAAATAACTGTCCTTTCTTTCATTACTTTCCAAATTTATTCTGTCTTCATCATCCAGTTACAAACCATCATAAAATAAGTGATGTACAATATATTCTTAACCTTATGTCTACTGCAAGGTCAATGTGCATGTCACAACCTTTTACAGTTACATTCAAAATTTAATTAAACTATTGTTAATGTTTGGCAATAAAGCATACACAAGTTTATAATTCAAATGTTCATGTAGTTTTAATTTCTTAACTTCAATACGAAATATTTTAATCTAAATCTCTCTGTGTCATGCTTTTGTGCTCCAAATTGGTATCTTAGATTTTCTTTCTACCCTTTTATGGGTTTTAATTTCCAACCTCATATTGTGGATAGTGAATATAATTTTAGAACCTCCAGTCTTCTTCCTTGATGAGATATAACAAAAGGTCCAACCCTTCCTGTACCATTTTGCCTAATTCGTGCTGACATTGCTACTAGATTGTTTATAATCAATAGAAAAGGCAATTTTTTACTTACAAGTTTCTTTATATTTGTTATTTCATTTTTGCTGCTCATAAGTAGGTATTTGGCCTCAGTTTCACTATTTGCAATTAACAGAATTTCTTTAACTTATTTATAGCTTAGTTAGAAAGCCAGTTAAATTAATGTTTTGGAACATTTTATTGTAGTGTGATATATTATTTGGGTTTCCACCCAGCTCATAACCACAAAAGTATCTATGAGAGTAATTATACTATGATGTTTCATAATGTAAGCACATTTTTACAAGGTTTTTTGAAATTAAGTATTAAGATTTCGTAAACCTTTTTCTTTCAGAATGTTGACTATCCAACATGCACATTAATTTTGATTTTAAGATTAACAATACTTTAATGCATTAGAACATTTTCAAATTTCACATGCGAAATCTTTATAATCTCCAGATAATTATTAAATTGTTTGTTTAAAAAACTATATTTAATTTCTTATTTTCAATAGTGTATTTCTGTACAGATTGGTTCGATATGACCAACTTCGTAACCTCAATAAAAAATAAGGAAAAAAAATATAAATTATGCTTTTTTCATTCTAGAATGACTACAAATTCTAATACAAACACAATTTTAGTCTAACTAGCTTAAATCTCATGTTATACATTTATATATATATATTGACCTTCCAAACGTGCCTGCCTAACAATACAGAAGTTAAAATGATGCAGTGCACTCATGTTTACATCGTGTTACGTATCCAATAATATATAACTGACCTTTAGTTTTTACAGTGACCTGTCTTGGTTGTGTTTTAGTGAATTAGTATTTTGTAAAATACAGTCACATTTCAACTATTATGCATTACATATGTATATATATTATTTCTATTTACAAATAAGCTTTTAAACTTATTTTTCTTGAAACATAGAACAGTAAATATAGTAAAGCAAACAATTATCTCTTCTAGTTATGACCTTTGTACTCATTTGCCACTTGTCGTGGGTTGCTTTGCTAAGCCTTATGAAATTTACCACGTGGAGGATGTAAAAAGAAATTTTTGGGGTATATATACATTTTAATTAACCAAAAAAATCATAAATTACTATATTGATACCATAGAATTCCACTATAATTTATCAAGTGCAGTAACTAAGCTGTATTTGGTTCTAAAAAAAAATATGAAATTTCGAGTTCACTAAATACTTACCTCATCATTTGAAATCATGTGAAAAGAATGAAA